TCCCGTAAGCATACGGGATTTCTTTCTTTCAGAGTAGGTAAAATGGACCTCATTTTGAAACTAAAAAAATACGTTTGACAAACGAAATTTAATTTATAACCTCGACAAAATAAAGACGAGTAAAATAAAGACAAAATAAAATAGTTAAGAAAGGGATCTTTGGACCAGTGCCATCCATCTGCCAAAACAATTTAAGACTCAATTGGATTAAGAAACGTGATGTCTATTATGTTCATATCATTGTTGATAAACGTATAAAAATTTACAAAATATAAGAGGAGCGACGTTTATTCTGCTCTGTGAATGTCTGCTAGAGACAAGAAACCGCCATTGATACAGTATATTCAAAATATTACTAGATGTTCAGAAAACTTAACACGCATTGATCATAAGTTGTGACCCTAGTGAAAATCGTTGTCAATTTATGGTATCGTCATCGATTCTTAATACGTCTGCAAAATTTCATATTATTCCGACAGTCTGGAAGTGGGAGAAAACTGAATTACAAAATTCCTTTAAATTCGTATATGTATATACTTCATAAAAACATACAGGTCAAGCAAACATAAGGCGTGTAATAAATAGAAGCGTCGCGTCGGATCCTATACATATAATTAGTGACCGACCGAAGATTCAGTTTCGGTTTCGGTTTCGGCAATTTTTAGCAAAAAAATCTAGTGTCGGTAATAGTTTCGGTTTCGGCAAAAATCTGCTAACCCTCGGCGGCACCGAAACTCAGTGTTCGTGGATATTCGTGCATCGTGCGGATGAGTTCGTGACTCGTGTATTATGCATAATTATACAGAAACAGAAACTTTTTTATTCAATATAGATTGTAAATAATACTTATTGAAAGTCACTCTTTTGTTTAATTACCACTGGTTCGAAAAAGTAACCTCTGTCCTTGGAAGAACCAGCAAGAAATCCAGCGGGACTTTTCTTTTAAATAACAGCTTACAATCAAAGGCGTAGCGTGAACTTATATAAACGTGGGCGAATTTGCATCAGCGAGATTCCTTTTCTTTCGTTCCAAGGGTCTACCCAATAGATTTATACTACCAAACATGCTTTGACACGGCATACGAGGGCGACACTGAAAATTTTTGAACTGCTGGCCACTTGTAGATTTCGATTGGCCTTTCACGATGAAGCCCCATCTCGTGCCACTGTTTACAACTGGTTTAATGAGTTTAATGATCTGCGTGAGAAATGGCCTTCTATGGCGACGACTGAAGATAACATCAGTGTTCTGTGGCGTATGATAGAGACTGACAAAAGATTGACTTATCAACAGATTCGGACAAGCTTAGGCATCGGTATAGTCAAGTGCACAAAATCCTCCATGAACATTTAGTGGTTAGGAAGCTTTGTGTCCGGTGGACACTTCCTAATTTAACAGAAGCCCAAAAACACCGTCGTGTTGATTGGTGTCGTGATATGGTTCAAAGATTTAACAGAGGTGACTCAAATGCTGTTTTCGACATACTTACTGGTGATGAAAGCTGAATTTATTGTTATGATCCTGAAAGAGACAGTCTGCTGTCTGGGTGTTTTCTTCCGAGGAGTTGCCAACTAAAGTAAAGAGAGGTCGAAGCGTGGGAAAAAGTTGATGGCCTCGTTCTTCGTAAGGACAGGACATTATGCGTCAATTGTTTTAGTGGACCGAAAAACAGTTACTGCAGACTGGTACACTAACAATTATTTGCCACTTGTCTTTGAAAAAGTTCGAGAGAAAAGACCTCGCAGTAGGATTCTCAAGCAAACAATCAACTACTTGGCGACGTTAGACGTGGAATTACTGGATCACTCGCCCTATAGCCCCGACCTCGCACCTTGCGATTTTTATTTATTTCCGAAAATAAAATAAAAACTACGAGGAAAACCTTTTATGGACGCCGAGGACGCAGTGGCTGCGTTTCAAAATGCCGTCGTAGATACCCCTAAGGACTAGTGGGCAAAGTGCTTTTCTCAGTGGTTCCATCGGATGCAGCGCTGTATTGATGTAGATGGACACTATTTTGAAAAGATATAATAAAACTAATAATTTGCTAGTTTGTTCAGTTTTTAATTTTCTAAGAACTTTCAGTGTCACCTACGTACCTACTTATATCTATTAATTCCTGACAAGTCTCGTAATCCGTCAATGTAACAATCGCGGTATTTGAAGGCAGTTACAACATTCACAACGTTCATAGTCGAATTTAAGAGGGGCTTCTTGTGAGGCCCCAAACAAATACACTTAAATTTGTGACTTTCTTTTTCGAGCGTAAAAATTATCAAATTAATTAGTAATCTGTGGTAAAGTCTAGGCCTACTTCGCCCACGCCTAGCTACGCCACTCTTACACGTTTGTACGTGGTAGAGCCATGATGCAGCTAAATTAGTATTATAGTTGTAGCATGAACGAGCGAAAATCTAAAGTATGTTTTATAATATAAAAAATAACAATTATATAAATAAGGAATATTATTTGAAGGATAAGGTAAACCCACCCTACGACGCGAAATGTGGTCCAGCGGTAGACTTTTACGAACTGCTAAAGAAGATTAAATACAATACACAAAAAAGCCACGATTTAAATAAAGTCTATACATGGTGGTTCGATCATTGTTTTAAAAGTTTATCTATTTACCATTTTTCCTACATTCTTTAACTTGCACCACAAAACAAAATCGGCACCTAAAATATGCGGCAATAGATAAATCCGCTTTTACATTTCTTATTCCAATCTTAGTGGCATCGAACTCACATCGCGATGTATCATTTGGCGACTATCCAAGATGAAGACAAGAAAAGAAAACAACTCTAATTTGTTACGCTTATTAATTCTAGTACCAAATAAACAGACTTTTTTCAGTAAGCGCTGTTTATGACGAAAGATTTAAGCATTGCTTTATGATGATATAATTAAAAATTATCAACATTTTACCCAAAAAATAGTGAACTACTTTGTGGCAGTGGTGCTGAAAGCCAAAGTCTGCTATAGTAATGAACAAAATCGTTCTGATCAACCTAAATCATCGTAACATTTAATTAATGGCATGAACCTGGTAACAGTGACTTAATATGTTTAACTTAGCCAAAACAATTAGCCGTATGACAGGAATGCGGTTTCGGCGCCCAATACATAATCACTTGGGAAAAAAAATACTAAAATCAACACTTAAAAATACATTTTAAATAAATGAATTGTCAATTCTCCTAATAAAAAAAAACAAATGCTAATTTGTCGCAAAGAAGATACTATTAAAATAATAGTCTATTTAAAAAATGTTAGTGTTTATTTTATTTGGCATTTTGGCAACACTTGACATTGGCGTTATTTAATGTCTTTCGAAATGTAGAGACACTCCGCAGGTGTATTATGGCAGAAACACTAAAACAACGGCTTGATGGGGATAGAATCACTCTCTATCTAATATATTAGCGTATGTTGCCATTAAACATTGCAAATCTAAAAAAAAATAAAAGTGAAGTTACAGCCTATAAACGTTCAAATGCTAGGCACTGGCCTCTCATATCTGGAAGAGTTATAGAGCAATTAGTCGCGTTATACCAGTGTATAATAATATTTTTATCACTGTCCACTGCTAAACATGGTGCTTTATACGTGGTAGAGCCATGCTGCAGCTATATTTCTGGTATAGTTGTAACGCGAATGGGTCGGCTCGACCGGGGAAGGACCACAGAATACCAGCGTAAAATTGCAGCTTGACACTGCTGTGTTTCGTATGGTGAGTGTAGAGAACCGGAGACCCATTTTACTGGAAAAGAGGCATTCCATCTTAGTCCTCACGGGTGACGACGCATCTGCATTTTGATTCGTAAGCGAGGATAAATGTAGATGTCTATGGGCCACAGCAACCACTTACCATCAGGTGGACTGTGTGCTCGTTTGTCACCTTTATCCTATAAAAAAAAAAACATAGGCCTTCCCCAAGAAATGCCACAAAGCACGGTCCTGAACCACCTGCATTCCTCGATTTCCTGCATTTCTTACCAGGTCGTCAATCCATCTAGTGGGTGACCACTCGTGAACCTTTCTTATCCATCGGTTGTCGGTTTTTCGAGCTATATAGCCGGCCTATTGCCACTTCAGCTTACTAATCCGTTCGGTTATGTCGGTTACTCTAGTTCAAATCAATTTTTTTCAATAATTTTTTTTTTATCATTATTTTCATGAAAGGAATATTAATAAAATAATAATTAACGATCTCATTCGCCGTCATAACCAATTGTGCTATAATTATAACTAGATATTCACAAAATCAAAGTTTGTCGCCCTCTTTCTAATATTACGCCCTCGTATTGGCATAAAACCGAAAGAATAGCTTTATTATTTCCCAGAAACAATAAACGCAGAACTCTCTCGAAATTGGCTAGTTATTGGACACTGCCCGAATATTTCTTATCGGGACATTAATAACTTGAACTAACTTTTTATTTGGTAGAACCTTATGTATAATTCAGTATTGTTGTTTGAGTCTACCCGGTTTGGATCAATGCAGGGATGTTACGGATATGATATTTCGGATATGGATACGGATACGGATATGGGAATAATATTATATCGGTTTCGGTTTCGGTTACGGATATAAAATTATTTCGGATTATCCGTTAGTTTCGGATCGGATAAGATTTTTGAGGTATTTAAGTAAAATACAAATAAGTAGGTAATCATTTGGCTTTATATCTTGGTTATCATTTGGTTACAATCAGTCATTTATTCAAGTAATTAACAATTTTATAAGAATAGTATACTAATTAATGTAGCTACCTACATATTTTTAAGTTATCTACTTAAAAATGCTATTACAAAATTATTATAATCAAAAACAATGCTATTAGTTTTTTTTTCTATTATATTCTTCAATATATTTCTAGGAACTATTACAACGCATAAATCAGTCTTCTTAAGTCTTTGCATATTGAAGAATAAAAACTAAAATCTGAACATAACATAACAAAATATTTACTTGTCTTTCACTTAATGATTTCTTTTAATAGTCGAAACTAAGCAAAGGTAAATTATACTTAACAAAAAGCAATTTCGCAGCCTTATCACCAGAAAGTCGATTTCTTAAGGGGTCATAAATTAACCCAGCTGCACTGAAAAGCTGCTCACTTGGTACACTTCCAGGAGGTGGAGAAAGGTACTGTCTTACTAAATCACTTAAGCAATGGTACTTGGTATGCATTTTCCACCATAAAAGTGGATCTTCATTGAGTGTCAATCGTTTCTCCCTGTTGTATTCATTTAGTAATGTCTTTTTAACAATAAATTGATTGTGCACATCATCACCACAATCTATGTTTTGCTCTTCCTCGTCACTTAAGCTTAATATTTCAGCTAGACAAGATTGAATGTGTGAATAGTTGCTTGAGCTTGTTGTCGGAATCTCATTCCGTGATCTCTTAGGTGAAGAAGGACCTTCATCACGAGAAGCTTTTGAACACCCAAGAATCCCCAGAATCTCAGACTGTACCTGTTCCTTCGTAATTTCAGTAAAAAACTTGAGTTTAAACCGTGGATCTAGATAAGTAGCTATTGTATATATTTTATTATTTTCAATATCCTGAAATCTGACATTGATGTCTTGGATCATTTTCGTAATCATTAATTTGAAGTTCTCAGAAGTCTCTTCTTTACTCTTCTCTGTTTCTAGTGTGTTTTTAAGAGTATATATTAATGGAATCACTGATGCTATTGTTGCAGTAGCACTACTTAACTCCTTTGTAATTTCTTCGAACGGCTTTAGTATTGCAACACACTTTTTCAAGTCGAGCCATTCATCAGCATTAAGAATTGGTATATCATGCGCGCCCGAATACAGTACTAAGGAGTCTTTTAATGTCAATATTCTTTTCATCATATAATACGTCGCGTTCCATCTGTGAAAAAAGAAAAAACAATGTCAAATCAAATAAAAAAAAATTACATAATAGATAGGTGTATAAAATAGAATAAAAAAATCTCACCGTGTGGAACATTCCTGAATTATACTTAGTCCTGATTGGTTCAGTCTTTCTGTTTGAATTTGTTTCAATTCATTTTGCGCGATTAGGGAGTGATTGAAGTGAGTTGCAATTTTCTTGCACTTCGTAATTACTGACGAGAGAAATTCTTCGATTTCCATCGTTGATCGCACACATAATTGTAGTTGATGAATAGTACAGTTTGCATCAGTGAAATTGGCCATATTCATAGCTTTTATCATATTAGATCCTCTGTCGCGTAAAATACAATGAACTGATTCCGTGCTTAAGCCCCAATCTTTCAAAATATTGTTTAAATTATTTGCTATAATTTCACCTGTGTGCCGACCCTCTAATTGTTCACACTTGAGTATTATAGAAACTCTTTCATATTTATTGGTGATGCCATGAGCAGTAAGACTAAGTAACGATACATTTGAGCTGGGCTCTGACCACACATCTGTAGTAAATGACAACTTTTCAAATTGCTTAAGTAATCCCAGCACCTTTAATTTAATTTTATTGTATATATCAGTACACAGCAAATTAGTAAAATACTGCCGACCTCTTAGATGATAGCGTGGTAATGCTGCCTGCATTAATCTTTGGAAGCCGACACCTTCCACAAAGTTAAATGACAAGTTTTGTAATGCAATCATTTCAGCTACTAATTTATCAATTTCTTTTTGCTTGACATTACTTTCATCCCAGGCGCCTTTATTTTTTAAAGAATCTGTTATTGACAGCTGTTTTTTACACTCTTGTAATGGTGTCAGCTGTTTCGTGGTATGTGGTATTTGTTGGATATCTTTTTCTAGTAACAAAAGTTCTTCGTACTTATCACCGTGTTTTGATTTAAGATGAAGTTTAAGCGAAGTAGTGCCACCTCCTTTTCGTGAAAAGGTTTTATCACACTGTTTACATTTTGCGGAATCTGCATTAACTTGATTAAAAAATCTCCAAATTAAACTAGACTTAGGTCGCATTTGGTCCAGATTAGGTAAACAATTTAATAACACAACACTTTTCTTTCACTTCGTCGAACTAAACTAATTACTCGTACCTAAATATAAAACTGACTGACGGGACTTATGTATGACTGCAACATAAATAATAAACAAACAATGCAAGAGTAAGAGACACGCGCCGCTAATGTAAAAAAGAAACCTGTTATAACAAGTCTCATTTAGACTCAGCCCCTACCCTTATCCGAAATTATCCGAAACTTTTATATCGGATTCGGTTACGGTTACGAATAGTTTTTTATTTCGGATATCCGATAGTTTCGGTTACGGTTACGGAGCTCCATAACATCCCTGGATCAATGATCAAAAGTGGGAGTAAAAGGCAAAATAGGAAAATATATTACGTTGTAAAATTAAGTCATAACAAAGTAAAAAACTCACATGTTATTTTTACTTTCGAATGAAATATGTTCTTAATTATGTTATTCAATAAACATATTTATATTTTAATTATTTAATAATATATTATTTCAAATATTTAAGGAACTTAAAATCTTTAGTTATAATTATAAATATTTATAAATATTACTCGAAGCTTCATTTTCACCCGAGCATATTCATGCCATATTAGTGTCGGAAAGTTGGCTAAAGCCTTCTTTACCGTCAACTTTATATCCCCTACCCGGCTTTGTACTTGTTAGGAATGATCGGGTTGGAAAAGGTGGAGGTGGTGTAGCCATTTACCTACACGCATCAATTCCTCATAAAATTGTTTCAGCATCTCCTTCCTGTTACTCTGCCTCTTCTGAGTTTTTATTTTTGGAACTTGATGTCAAGGGTATAAGGATGCTTCTAGGGGTAGTGTATTGCCCCCCTTCGACAGATTACTTCGCCACTTTAGATATGGCTCTTGTTGATATTTGTTCTGAGTACGCGCACTGTATAATCATGGGTGACTTCAATACAGATTTGTTGAAAAACTCTCCTCGTTCCAAAAAACTTCTTTCAATTGTTGAGTCGGTTAATCTTTCTATTCTCCCTTTAAAGGCTACTCATCACAATATTGGAACCGATGACTCATTGATTGATCTCATCCTTGCTGCTTCTCCTGATCGTGTGATGACGCACGGACAGTTACCTGCTTTGGGCATCTCACGTCATGACTTGATTTATTCTTCGTATAAGCTAAAACCTCCCAAATATTCCCCTTCTGTACTGCATCTGCGCAGTTTTTCTAAAATAGATTTTGACAAGCTAAGGGATGACGCTCTTAGTCTGGATCTAACCTCATTTATTGCAGCACCTACTGTTGACGATAAAGTCTCTATCCTTAACCAAAATATTCTCAGCCTTTATGATGCTCATGCCCCAATTCACAAGGTTAGATTGAAGCGTCCTCCAGCCCCATGGATGACAGAGGGCGTAAGGATGGCAATGACTAGACGTAATCGAGCTTTTCTTCGTTTTAAGAGAGAACGTAATGAAGAAAATTGGTCATCTTTTAAAGCAGCCAGGAATAGGTGCAATCAAATGGTACGGGCAGCTAAACGCCGATATTTCCATAATTGTATTAACAACTCTTCTCCCGCCGAAGTGTGGAAATTTCTTAGATCTTCTGGTCTTTGCAGGCCAGCTATATTGGATTGTGGTCCTTCTCTATCACTTGATGAAATCAACCAACATTTCGCTTCTGTAACAGCAATGGACCCTACAATTCGCTCTCAAACTGTGGCTTCTATTGCTTCTGTGCAAATTCCTAATATACCTACCTTTAATTTCTCTCCTGTTTCGCAGGATGATGTCAAAAAGTCTATTTTAGCAATTCAGTCCAAGGCGGTGGGTTATGATGAGATTAGTAGACAAATGGTAGTATTTATACTAGAGCACCTTCTTCCGGCAATTTCCCATGTTATAAATTTTTCCCTTGATTCAGGTCAGTACCCTAATCTTTGGAAAAGGGCTTTTATAAGGCCCCTTCCAAAAGTTCCTTCTCCCATTCTTCCCAATCATTTTCGCCCTATATCCATTCTACCCTTTCTATCCAAAATTTTAGAATCCTGTGTTTACAAGCAAATTTCTACATTCATTTCGAAACATAACCTACTGAGTATATATCAGTCTGGGTTTCGCCCTGGTCATAGTACCAGTACTGCTTTAATTAACGTCACAGACGATATTAGAAACGGTATGGAAGAAAAAAAAGTAACAGTACTGGTACTAGTTGATTTCTCAAATGCTTTCAACACAGTTGATCATGAAATCCTTCTATCCATACTGTCTCATCTAAATTTTGGCCCTACAGCATTGGAATGGTTTGCATCTTATCTTCGCGGTCGACAGCAGTCAGTCTGTGTGGGGCAAGTAACCTCAGCTTGGGCTGATGTGGAAGCTGGTGTACCGCAAGGCGGTATTCTTTCTCCTATAATTTTTTCTATTTTTATAAACTTTATTACCTCCATCTTCGATTGCTCGTACCATCTGTATGCCGATGACCTTCAGCTATACGTGCAAGCTGAAATTGGGGATATCCATAATGGGATTAAAAAATTAAATAACAACTTACAAGCTATCAAGGATTGGTCTACTCGTTATGGAGTATTGGTCAATCCTTCAAAATGCCAAGCTATACTGGTGGGTAGCTCAAGGATGCTAGCCAAGATTAATCTTGCAGACATACCCTCTATCTACTACAATGGGATTACAATACCGTTCAGTAAGTCTGTAAAAAATCTTGGCCTACACATTGACAACACGCTGAATTGGAGAACTCAGGTTACTGAAGTCAGTCGTAAAGTCACTGCTACGTTACGTACTCTGTATCGTTTAAAACATTTTCTCCCCACAAAGTCTAAGATCATGCTTGTCCAATCACTCATATTACCCATATTTGATTATGCAGATGTGTGTTACCCGGATCTGTCCCAGGATCTTCTGAACAAGCTGGAACGCCTTCTCAATAACTGTATAAGATTTATTTTCGGGCTTCGTAAGTATGACCATATTTCGCAATATAGATCTAAGCTTAATTGGCTTACAATCCGGCAGAGGCGTATTTCCAGAATATTACTTGTTCTTTTTTCCATATTAAATGACCCATTTTCGCCTTCTTATCTTAAGAGCAAATTTCACTATCTCTCCTCATCTCATGATAGGGTTCTACGTTCGTCTTCTAACAACAAAATTTGTATTCCAGTTCACTTCACCGAGTTCTATGGTAACTCCTTTACAGTTCAGGCTGCACGCCTTTGGAACTCCTTGCCTGACGACATCAGAAAAGCTCCCACTAAGTTTGCTTTTAAAAAGTTGGTGCGTAATCATCTATCTGTTAAAGACAACGCTTCTTAGATGAATCATCCATGTCATTTATATTTTAGACGTATATATTTATAGTTATTAATATGTATTATTTGTATATGTATGTTGGTATGAATATATGTATGCTTATGTATGTACGTATATATTTGTATACATGTATAAATAGGATATATTTTTATAGTTTATTTATTGTATATAATAGTAATATGTATATATAATGTAATTAATTATACATTTCTATTTTCTTTTTATTCTATATTGCTACACCTACTTCAAATTCTCACCACTCCATGGGTTGACTGGTAGAGAATGCCACAAGGCATTAAGTCCGCCCTTTGTATTCTTTTAGGTTAAGGAATGCAATAAAGAATAAATAAATAAATAAATAAATTTATAAATGATCTTAAAATAAACATTTAATGTATTGCTTTACTTTTGTCAGCGTTGTTTCCTTTATTTTTAAGTATGGTTGAATGGATGGAATGGAACGGCAAAATAAATTTATGTAGTTAGAGGCTGCTAGGTATTTTATGTTCGTCTACAGGGTTTAGAGCATTTGTAGAGTTCTTTGTCTGAAATTAGTTGCAGATAGGGCTGCAAAAGCCACTTACCATCAGGTAGGCTGTTAGCACGTTTTTGACTCATAAATTGTATATTGTTAGTTTTTTTTTATTCATACTAAAGGGAAATCTTACTGTGTAGTGGCAGTATAATGCCTTCTCTACACTACTAGTTAGTAACTGACGAAGTGCTCGTCGAAGTGGATCGCAGTCCGAAGAACGTGACTACACACTAGTGCTACTTCACGAAGAGCTTGAGAGACTACCGCACCCTCAAGAGGCAGCTGCTATAGGTACCTAATTGAGTGAACAGTACGACGTCAATGCGTTAACTAAACAAATAATTATGTAGAAAGCTACATATTTAATATACATATATATATATATAAAATATTCATTATTTATGTTAAAATACCTTGTGAAGTAAATAAAGAATTTATTATATTATATTATTATTCATAACTGGCGTACGCCGAGTATTGTAGTGAGACGCTTCGTGTAACTTCGGGGGTTCGGGGTATACTACGCGAAGTCCTTTGACTCTGGCGCAAAAAACCGACTGCGATCGGAAGTCGCCCGAGGCGAAGCGAGGTCGCACGAAGCGAATCGAAGTACCTCTCTACACTATTCGCCTCGTCCAACTTCGATCTACTTCGCGAGTAGTGTAGAGGAGGCATAAAAATATCTGCCTGCCAAGCGTGGCAACTATGGTAAATACCTCCTTTATGACGCAATCTATGGGGAGACCTATGTTCAGCAATGGACGTGGACAGGCCGTAATGAATGATGAATGTATTGAAACGGAAATATAATTATCGTTCTGAAATGTTTATGATACTAAATGGAAACGCCATAATGACGAAACATTAACAGTGGTAGAGCCACGCGGTAGCTTTTGCTGTCGCAGGGATGGGCCGGCTCGAACCGGGGTAGTACCACGACCTCACAGAAAACCAGCGTGAAGTAGAGGTTTACCTCTACCTTTCGCTTGGTGAGTGCAGGAGGCCGGAGGCCCTTTTTACTGGAAATGAGGCATTCCATCTTAGTCCTCACGGGTGACAACGCATCTACATTTTGATTTGGAATAGAGAATAGATGTAGATGTCTATGGGCCGCATCAACCACTTACCATCAGGTGGACTGTGT